TAAATACGGGTTTAATTGAACTGGACCTATGACTCTCTACTTCATTAATTACAATGTTACTTATTCTTTTAGAGAAAGTAAGACTTCGAAAGATCCAATCTATTTGAGGGTTGTATTTTTCTAATCACGATAAATCTAAAATGACTGGATTAGAGGGAGATCTAATGATATTAAATACTACAAAACTATTATAGCCATTGATTATTACTTCTATAGCAAGGATTTCGTGAGTAATATCTCCAAAAGACAATAGACGACCATCTATGACCTCTACATGAACAGGTTTAGTTTTCTTTACTAAAGATATGCTATGTCTTTTAGTTAATTCTTCATCTAAAAAATACGTTGAGGCTCCCGAATCTAACAAGGCAGAGACTTTGTAATATTTAGGTTCTAAAATAACATTTAATGTAAAACAAGGAGAGGGCTCTTAGGAGAGAATAGGATCTTTACTAGATATTGTGTAAGGTTCTAGCCGCACGGTCCCTATTGTAGCTGGACAAACTCGTTTTTTGACATATTGTCTTCTTTTACAGCCATACTCCTCATTTTTTGATTACGTTGTTTCTTTGGATAATGTTGAGCAGTGTGCTTTCGTTCTCCACAATATAAACATAATCTTTCTTGACGACGACGAGTCTTTTCTTGCTTAGTAAGAGGTTTGAAACGTACTGCATCAATTTGCATATCATCTACTTTCGAATGTATATATTGAAGAGGTGTTGGTGTTGGTATTGAATTATAGTAACGTTGAGGTTGGTTCTCAGATCGGAATTCAAAAAGATGATTGTCGCACTTCACAGCAAAGTCAATTGTTTGACTCAATGTTTGAGGATCAGGTAAGTTGAGCATTAATTTTTTTACCTCATATTATAATTCGTAGAGAAATTGGCTAATAAGTGTAGCATCATCCCACTTGATATCAGTTGTAAGTTGTCAAAATTATGAAAAGTACAATATTACTGATCGATTGCCTTGTCGTAAAATACGGATCTTATTGGTTGCATCACGAATTACATCATGTTCTCCATACATGGATCGAAATTCCGCCAGAAAAACCTCTAGATTATCCAATATTGAATCTCGTCGTTCAAGAAAAGATGAAAATTACGATAGTGCTGAATCTGAAAGAAGCGTATCAATGAATCTAACTTGCGATCCTAGAGTTGGATAGCTTTGGGGTTGAAGTTCAATCACAAGTTGCACTTCATTGATAAATCCTCAAAACTTAGATCTGGTGCCATCAAACTTCTCGAGTAGGGCAATTCTTGGTTCTCTAATATTTGAAGGACGTTCCACCAAGGAGAAAGGACATGGTATGGTGCAGATATTGAAGCAGCTCCAACCATTTCTATATCTTCACTTCTTGCCAATCTTGTTGCTCCTTGTGGTGGTAAATTGAGTTGATGCATCGCAAGTATTAATTTCCTCAATTGTTCTTGCATTTGTACCATTGCACTCTTCATTTCAATAAGTTCTGCCATGATAACACTTAGAAGAGAGAAGATGTCTAATATCGCTTAAGACAAATAGAAGAGAGGACTTGAGAACAAAGAAAATACTAAGGACAATATCAGTTTAGAAGAGGATAATCCGCAACTTCTAATATGCTTATATCTTATCAAGAAAAAAGAGTAATCTACTTTTAATCAAGATTAGACAAAGCTCTGATATTGTAGGTATATTCTTGTCAATCTGTCAAGGACAAGAACTCGATGAAAAATCAATTCAGACAAGTGAGCCTTTACTCAAAGAAAGGTAACAAAATATAAATAAATAAGTATGTATATTGAAAGAGAAACTAGAATGGCTATTGCCAAAAGACAAGAAAACTAGAGACCCTTGAAACTAGATTGGAAGCAAGAAAAGAGTTGACAAGAGTGAAGAAGGCTTCACTCTTGTCTCTATATATACTATCTAACTAAGAGCTACGTGGTGACGTTCTATAGGACCTCCAATATGTGTTGACTTTGTAGGACACATGCCTTGACTTACAAGGCAAGTTTTTCTACGTGTGGGCCACATAGTTAGCTTGATCTTCAAGCTAACAACATGTATGGTACATGGCCAACTTGTTGACCACGTTTCTAATCCAAAAAGTCAATTAAAGACATCTATGAAGTCAAAACAGTATCTATAAAGCTTCTAGGAAGCTTCCATATTAACTTACTTTTACCTACTTGTATATGAAATTACTAGCTTATATGAGTATGTCCGTGACATTACTATTATGTTTGGTTAAATTATACTTATGATTTGAAATACAATATACATTAAGAAATACAATGCCATTTGCTCTTAATTAATATCCTTGCTAACAAGACAAAGCATCAAAAAATTGACATGTCCAATTCCATTACATTGAGGCATATCCTAACATACAATGGCATACGCTAATGATTGATCTTAAATATTAAGTCTATGATCTATGCTAAGTTTGGCATAATATTCTTTGCACTTTTGAACATGTCTTTTTTTTGTATCAATAATATATATATTCACTTCTCTACTATTGGATTCTCTAGATTATAAGCTTGTTAAAAAATTACCTTTTTATTTTCCATCTATTTAGAGATTGTTTCTCTTTCTACTTCATAGTTATTTTTATTGCATCTTTTTTTATTTTAAGATAATATGATAGATTTGATACTTCTTTTGAATTGAAAAAATAAAACAAAATAAAAAAATTGTTGCTCATGCAATAGAGTTTTTTTTTAAAAAAAATCTTTGCATCTTTTAAAATATGCTAAGGAAAATTTGATGTTATTAAGATTATCAAATATCTTAGTATAATTATTAGTTGTACTTTGATGAATATGTAAAAAATAATTATCATTTTTTGATATAGGATCATGGATATTATGACTTGCATTAATATGAACTTTAATATCTTATCCTTCATCCTTGAGATATATGTTTTTACAAAAAACTTACATTTTACATGTCTTTTAGAAAATTGTTATTTAAGCTTACCACTTTTGTTGATTGAATCAAAATCTTTATTGCAAATTTTTTATTTCCAATTACATGCAAAGATTGCCATCTTTAAAGCATAAAATATCCTTCTTTAATATTAATGGATTAGCTTCAATACCAACATATTTTGGGCTTTTAGATTATTTATCTCTTTATTTATTTATTTATTTATTTATTTAAATATAAGAAATTATATAATATTAGAAGTTTTTATTGAAGTTACTAATCTTGTTTATTAATCACTCCTTCAAATTTAGATTTTTTAAACTTACACTCAATATAAGTCTTTATGACTTTCATAATATAAGTCTTTATGACTTTCATAATATAAGTCTTTAGAATCCCATGTTTGTTACTTTCTACAATCTATTTGAAATGACAAACTTTTGGAAGAATTTTTGTTTTATAATATGAGACCTTCTTCCACAATGCAAATTTCATAACTATTGATGCTTATATGTCAATGTATGAAATAATATAATTTGGATACTTTTTATTATATAACCAATGTTTACTATTATACAACTTAAGTATCCCAAAATCATTTCTAAGATTTCTTCTTTTTTTCAAAATGGTTTTATGAAATACTTCAATTGAAGTTTTTACTTGAAAAATAAAATTAGCATTCAATCTAATAATAGTATCATGTGTGGTGATTATTACCTCTTTTCAACCATTGAATTAAATATTCTCTCAATTCATGTTTAAAGCAATAGTATCTTTTTGGAATGAACGTTAGAAGATTGAATTTGGGTCTAGAACCACTTTCATCTCTTCTTTATCTTCTTCTCCTTTAGTATCAAAAAGCCATCAGAAGTTGAAGTTGATTTCATCATTTGAAGAAATATTGTTGAGGTAAAAAACCTCAAAGACTTTGTTAATAGCTTCAATCACACCCCCATCTTCTAAGCTTTAAAATATGATACTTACTTTACTTACACAAACCACACACAATATGATTAATGTTGCAAAAATTTAATACTTTAAATCAATATTTAACTTATTATTAGTATTTTCAACCACTAAATTCTCACATTAGTCATTGCCAATATTTTAATTATAACTTAGTGGGCATGGATCCCCCTACTAAGTTGCTCAAATAGTGACCATTTCTTCTGCTCATTTTCCATCCATTTTTTACCATCTATCTTTCTTTTGTGGTAAAAAAAATGATCACCATCCATGCACATTTTTTATTTTTTCCATGCATTTTTATTTCAATTCATGCTTGGTGGTAACAATTACCACCATATTTCTTATTGATGCACATTTTTCCTTGCTTTTCTTTTTCCTATAATTGCCACCACCGTACACTATAAAGAAGCACTACTTTCTTCATATTTCTCTCTATAAGATTCAACAAGTCTCTTCACCCGTTGCAAGCCACAACATCTAGTTCTATGATACAAAAACTTTTATAGAAGACCTCCCACCCCGAGCCTTGGGTCAACCTGCTTGCGAGAGGGGATGATGGGTAGGACTTACGGCCTCCTTCCTTGCGAGAGCTGGGCAAGCTCTCCACCCATTGGCTACAAGATCCCTTGCCCCGCCATGCCCCTCGCGCTTCCTTGTTCACATCGCCAAGTTCTCCCTTGTCCGTGCCACTAGTTCCCCTAGAGCTCCTCTATCCGCCCCTTGCATTCCTCCCAACACGCCCCCACATTCCCGATAGATTTTACAACAGACAAGATTGAATTTGGAGATCTAACGGCTGACATGCCTTGAGCCAGTCGATTGGGTTGGGAGGTTTCTGTGACACATAGTGACAAGGGGGAGTGTCACCCGGCTCTTGGTATACGACGTCGGTCTCTACACATACTGTCTGCGGACTAGGTGAGCAGATCTTTTACACTGGTCTACTCCCACCTGTAATGGCTGCACAGGTGAGCTTTTACACTGATCTACACATAACACTCTTCAGCTTCTCGGCTTCAATAGGACTACTGCAGCAGTGAAAGCGCCGCACACCTAATCCAACGAACCCTGCACAAAACCCGAATCAAGAGGTTGTAATGTGCCGGTCTGGTCTGCGCAAGCTGGGCCTAGACTTGGGGTTTGTTTCTAGAGCCCACTAGGAAAGGTTACTGGCAGTTTTAGAGTCTAGTGAAGCAGCTTGCGAACTGCGAATTCTAGTAATTAGTGGCGCATTAACTCACTGTTGCGTAAACATCCACCCCATTAAATGCAGACCTGGGGCGACGCCCACCTCGGCCTAAACCGCAGGCACCCTGTACCCGGCCCGAGTAGTTGAACTTGGGGGACCTGGCCTATCTTCCATATACTCATCCTCCATATTCTCATCCACCACAGCTCACTGCAGAGCTTTTCCTCATTTGCTACCTTCGCAACATCTGTTTGATTAGCTCGAGTCTCCACTACAGCACTCTTTGGGAGATCATTTGCAGCACGATGCAGGGCGAGTAATACACTGAATCTGAAGTATGGATTCCATTAATGACCTAACGCAAACTTTGCGCTGCAGTGATCGATTGGCGCACTGTGCAGCATGATCGCTGATCTCCGGCCAGCTTCTGTATGTCACCGGCTCTTGTAATTGAGGTCTTGGAGTCGGGTTTTACAATTGCAGCACCCTCGTCAAGAACTCCGTCCTGGCGACCCTCTCTGTAGATAGCTGAGGCCACTCAGTCTTTTAGAGGCATTAGTCATTCCCCTTGCTTCCTTTGCCAAAAATTCAGTGAATTTTTTTCGAACCACTGCTCAAAGAAATCCCAGCGCCGGGCGCTTATCATTAAACAGTTAGCCTTCTTCGTACAGTGAATAACTGGCAAGGTGCGGTGCGCAGTATTCATCAACGGAGAAGCTCGTATTCGAAGGGATTTTGAAGGTATTTATCAGTTGGTGGTGGAACTTCAGTGCAAGCTGGAGGACTTTTCAGCAGTTCGGTTTGTGGCGGAGCAATTCCAGACCTGGGTCTTTAGGATCTGGAAGCCAACAGCCGCGATGGAGACGCAAGAACCCGACCCTGTCACAAGCTTTCACTGCAGCGAAAACTATGACGAGGTGGAGAACTGCAGGGTGGAGGGTCGGGCAAATCAGAGCATTGTATCAGATTTGGACGGAACGCTTCTTCGGTCGCGAAGCTCCTTCCCCTATTTCATGCTGCTAGCCTTCGAAGCCGGTAGTCCATTACGGTTCATCATTCTTCTTCTTGTCTCTCCCATCGTTTGGTTCGTCTACAACTTCATCTCTGAGGTAGTCGGTATTAAGATGCTAATATTCATATCGCTTGCGGGGCTCAAAGTGTCAGCCATTGAGTCAGTGGCGCGTGGTGTACTGCCGAAATTTTTCTTGGAGGACATGCACTCCATCAGCTACAGAGTGTTTATTTCCTGCGAGAAACGCTACGTCGTCACAGCCAATCCAAGGATAATAGTGGAGCCATTCCTTAAGGAGTATTTAGATGTAGACGCTGTGATGGGCACCGAGCTTCAAATTTCGAGTGGGGGATATGCTACCGGCTTCGTCACCGGCCCTGGTGTCTTAGTGGGGACAGCGAAGCAACGAGCTGTGAAGAAATATTTTGGGTCCGACCAGCCGGACCTTGGCCTAGGGGACCGAACGAGCGACTTCGCATTCATGGACCTCTGCAAAGAGGCTTACATAGTGCCTAGCTATAAGGAGGTGCCGTCCGTGACGAAGAAAGACTACTTGAAGCCGTTGATTTTCCATGACGGAAGGCTGGTGTGTCGTCCTACGCCGCTGATGGCGCTGGCGGTGACACTTTGGTGCCCGATTGGCTTCGTCTTGGCCATCATCCGAATGTTCATTGGCATAATGTTACCAATGTGGTGGGCTCTCCCTCTAGAAGCCATGCTTGGCGTCACGGTCCGTATAAAGGGAATTCCCCCGACATGTCCCCTTCGGAGCAAGAAACGCGGCGTGCTGTTCGTTTGTTCACATCGCACTCTCCTGGACCCCATTTTCTTGTCTATAGCCGTGCGAAGGAAAGTCACGGCAGTGACGTACAGCATCAGTCGGTTGTCGGAAGTCCTGGCTCCGATCCGAACTGTACGTCTCACGAGAGACAGGAACACAGATGCGAGCACTATGGCTAGTCTCTTGGACGAGGGTGACCTCGTAGTGTGTCCTGAGGGCACCACTTGCCGCGAGCCTTATCTTCTGCGGTTCAGTTCCTTGTTTGCAGAATTGACTGACCAAATCGTCCCCGTAACCATGAACATCAAGATTTCAATGTTTCATGGGACGAGTGCTCGAGGCTGGAAGGGCATGGATCCGTTCTTTTTCTTTATGAACCCCCGCCCTAAGTACGAGGTAACATTCTTAGATCAACTCCCGCATCAGTTGACTTGCAATGGCGGAAAAACTAGCCACGAGGTTGCGAATTACATCCAGCGTGTGTTGGCGAACTCTCTCGGATTTCAATGCACCAATCTTACGCGCAAAGATAAGTACAGGGTGTTGGCGGGGAACGATGGAATTGTACCAGATCGAAGTCTGCGGCAGAGGGCCAGCAGAATATTTGGTTTGCAGTGACATTAGGGTTTACTTGTAACGCCACATGTCAAATCGCAGCATCGGATGGTCCTGTACCCAAATAATTTCCTAGGTGGCGGAGGACCGATTTTTTTCCTCAAATTGTGCGGAGTTAGGGAAAACCTTCGGTCCCCAGCTATGACCCACATGTGCTGCGTTGTCTGCATCCAGCCCGACCTCAACTGTGTCGAGCTTCTGCTGTTGATTGATTGACACCGACTAGAAACCAAATAGTACAATTTTAAGAGGATAAACATCGTGTTATAATTTGGAAAGTTGAACCATACAATTCCTTTCTATCAGTTACAGCGTTTGACTAACTACAGAAACAGGAAGACACTGTTGGACATTGCTCTATCTGCGGCGGTAAAAAGGACACTGGCTGCTTTTCAGAGACGACATATAACTTCGGCTTATGACTGAGTTCTTGTTGCTCCTCAAACCTTGAACTGTAGGACTGTAGCTAGTGTCTCTGCTGTCTCGCCTGTAAGCAGAAGCATTAGGCGTTTGTATTGTGTATTATTCCTACCATTCATTGAAGGACATTGATCTTCATCATTCATGCAACCACTGGCCCCACAACACCTACTTCTGGATCACCACCATGCTTTCGGACTGCGTGTGCATTCGCCATAAATGTCAGCTATAGAACACAACTAGCTCTACTCGGGACGTTGCACTCAGATCGTTGCTGATCAGCAACAGTGTGACCCTGGGTGAGAGGTATTCCAGTGCACTTTTTCTGGTAGTGGGAATCTTCGCAGTGCAGTCAATGAACTAATATGAGTAAGTCGAGTAGGATGAGCTGTGAAGCATCAGATTATCGGAGCATGTTCGTCGGGTACTGCCCAGCAGCAGCACCATCACTGCTCTGCTTTAACGCTTGCATGTCGACTTGCGGTACACGTCGCAACTGAAAGCCCAAGTACGCAGTTTGAATGATAGAGCGTCTTAATGGCCGCGGCCGTGACAACGGCAGTTAGGCTCTGCCAGCGGCAGACTGCGGCACCTACTGGCAAGACTGAGTGGATGAATATCGGTTCATCGTAACCATGGATGACTTATTGGCCATCACACTCATGGATGAACAATAATGCACCACTTCATTAGTTTAACTTGGATTTTTTATTTTTTATTTTATTATTCATTTACTTATTTATTGTGGTTGAGAAAATATATTTACATGACGGGCTGCATTAAAGGTGGGTTTGAATTTTTCATTCCAGAAGTCATGGGACGAATATGAAAATAATAATAATATTAATAATAACAATATCTTGTTTCACAACAAATCTAGTTATGTACCTGGTGAAGTTTTCTCATCCAGATTTAGGGTTGTTAATTTACTTTTCTAAATTATGAAATCCAAGTTCATTTCTAGTTATATACCAATTTAATTTTTATAGTTTCTTATTGAAACGTTGAATTATTAAAGTTCCTTTCAAAAAGTATAATTTGAATTGATCAATGTCAGTATATGTGTGCATGACTAGATTAATGTATCTTATTTATATTTGTATAGGAGAATATTAAATCGACACATGTAAATCTTAAATTGACCCACCTTTGCTCTTATCGTCACTTACCACATCAAGTAGTTACAATTTGTAATCCAACTCTCAAAATTGTTCTCACAATACCAAAATTTTCAACTCTTCTTAAGCAATCTTTAATGGACCCATAATATAAAGTGGTGGTGAATTCCCAAGCTTCAATACAATAGATATTCCAAACTAGAATGAAGAGAGAGAAGCAATGAAGGGAGAGATGAGTAGTGGGTTGATTTAAGATTTAGGTGAATCACCTTAATATTTTCTCATATATATATATATATATATATATACACACACACACACAAATAATAAAAATATACTACATTTAATGATAAGAATAATGATATCAAACAATCTTGATTTATATTATATGACTTGCTGTTAAATAATAATCAAAAGCTAAACTTATTGTACAAAAGGGAGTTTAATAGAACAATAATAGATTAAATATTACAGCAAATTTTAAGATATTGAAGTGGATATTACAAGATTTAGAAAAGACTTGGACTAACAAGGCTAATATGAAAGATATATCATGAATCTTATTTATTTATTTAAAGAATAAATTTATATACAAAACATGATAACCAATCTTCAAATTATATATATATATATATATATATATAGTATCTTAATATGTTAAAAATATTTATGAGATTTCTTTACTTTAATTTTTTTTAAATAATAATAAATAATATTAATTGTATATAATATCACATAGGTTTTTCTTTATGTAATAGAATGTATTTCTGAAGTTTATATTTTAGTCTTTTTTAATACTACATCCATTAATTAAATTTTAATATGCCATGTTTAATGTTGTAATATGTTTTAAAATATTTATTAACTTGCTTAGAATCACATGTAAAATCTAATTCATGTATAGTGTTGAACTGGTACTTTGATCTATTACTAAATTGCACTTGGTGGTATTACCCCTTCATATTTTATTATCCATGGCTACGATGTGGATTCTTTCAATTACCTTGTGGAAACTCTAAAAAGATTAATGACAATGTGAAAGTGTTTTCTTTATGTGGCTTCTTGTTAAATTAAAGTACCAGATATAAATTTATAATATCTGTAATTTATCAGAATTATTAACTCAAGTTTCAAAAATAAGTTTTAATGAAAATTTTGTATACGTTGATGATTAAAAATTTGTAAAGTAGAATTACAAACAAATGAGATGTGGTATTTTAATATTTTGTTACTATAATTAAATATATTATGATTTTAAGGAAAAAAAATTAAAAACTGATTTTTCGGATTTAAAGTAAAATTGCTAATATTTTAGAATCAGGCATCTTTAGTTGGAATAGTACGTTTAATGTACAATTGTCTCCCAATTGTTTCCCAGAAAATTAATCTCCCAAAAACTGATAACCCCCAATAATTAATCAAGATTTTGGAAACTAACCTGAACTAAAATCTAAGTATTTAGTCTTATTTTTTGTTTTGATTAAAAAAATAGTGTGGTTATTAAAATATATTATTAATTGGTTTGAGAAAAAAGCAAGCAATTTAGACATTATTTAATAGAAAACAACATCATTTATAAATTCCACCAACAAGAAAATAATTCATAAGTTTAAAAAAAGAAAAGAATGACATGGAACTACAACACATATCAACATCATTTGTGAAACAACCACATTACTCTATTAACTTAAAATTCAAAATTGAATCAAAGATACCATCATTTTTGTTACAAAAATTATGAAATTGCAAAAAATAATTACAAATTTATTCTTAATTGGCACATGGTCTAGTAAATTATGTTATTCTAACCTTTATTTTTCTGTTTTTCTTTTGTTCTTGATTTATTTATCAAAATAGATAAATGAGTTTTTTTTTAACAAATATATTATTTGAAGAGGATATGAAATGAGATGATGATGCTTTGTGCTAGAAGGTGATTCCACATGGAATGTGCGCCCTCCTTTAGACTTGAATAATAAGGAATGGGGCTCTCAAATCATTACCCTTCACACACACATACACATACTTCTCCCTCCCTCCATTAATTTTAACACCCAAAAGCTCTCACATAGAACACCATTCCCTGTAAGTATAAGTGGGAATGGTAACCAAAACAAATCCCAGTATTTTAAATTTTTTTAATTCAATTCTCTGTGGGACCCAGAGAATATATACATTGCCAGGATTGAAAATTGAACATGCAACATGTTAATGAAAAGTGCTCACACTCTTCAAGTCACCATCAAGCCTCAATTTGTGCTGAAGATTTACATATGGAGACAGGAGGTGTCCCGCAACATTCCATACAACATGATGGTAATGTTGAGTACAAAGGAGTGGTTGAAAAGTTATGTTCACACTTAATGGAACAAGCATCAGGTAAAAAGCTCATCCAGGTTTGAGGTGGAGGCCATCTTCACTGGCTAAGATGAAGCACATGTGTCTACATCCCAGACTTCTGCTATTCATTAAGCACACTATTGACATCTGTCTAGGCCTTCAAAGAATTACAGCACATCATCATCACACAATTTGGTGAGTTTGCAGTACAGTGATGACTGATGATCCAGTTGAAAATGGGGTTTGTTGATTGTGACAAACACCAAATATTGTGCACAATTCATAATGCTACATTGCATGAATATTGGCTCCTTCAAAAACCTGCAAGTGTTCTGGGTTGGACCTTGAGTAACACCTGGCAGCCAAAACAAATAACTCATGGGCTGTGTGACAGTCTACATGCACAGCAATCCAAAGAAAACTGACATACCTTGGATCAAGGAGAGGAGACTTATGTTGTGAAGAAGCTGGGTATTTTTTCGGCACAAATGTCCAAAGCCACGTCAGAGTTTGTCAAATGTTAGTAAGCTCATAGGTACCACTTCTGACGTTAGGTGCATTAGAAACGAATTCTATCGAGGTAAGATCTCAGGTCTTCACCACAGACCTGGCGAGCTGCAGCTCTGTGGACGCCCCCATCAACAAGTATGCCATTCAGCTGCTGCTACTGTTTGGCAGAAGGTTGGCCCAGGAATCAACTTCCACAAACTGCCCTCGACAGAAACAACAAACGAGTAGGAATCTGAAGAGAACATTACTGCTTCCTTCCTAACAAGTCAGGTGGCAGTACAAGTCCTTGCTGACTTCGAGTTCTGCACCCGACTCATATGAATGAAAAGAAAAGTGTTCGCACTGCAAATATCACAAGAAATAAACGTTCACTTTCCCAACAACACTTCTAGAATTTCGTGTGGACAAGAAAAAACCCACAAAGAGACCCGGAGATAATGAAAACCATGAAAGCTAAGTCCCGAACCATATTTACCGACTTACATTACCTTGACTGCACCCCAAATTAGTTAGAAGATCCAGTTCCAGTTCCCAGAAGACTCGTGTAGTAGCAGTATACGCATGCATTTCGCTCACGTATGCTCATGTATAACATCAGACCCCTAAGATATCACAGAGCTTTGGAGAGGCTTTCAGCAGACTTACCATGTGTAATCGTGTAACTCGAGCACTCAAGAGGCATACTGATTCACTAGAAATTCCGAGATGATAGGAAGTTCTCAAAAGGGGATTTAAAGATCCAAAAATTATAATGAATGAATTATAACCAGAGAAACTAATCATAAAAAATTCAATAAGCCGGGGGATGTATACACTAAAAGTAAATGACCTCTCTCATACTCGAACAGTCACCTAGCACATTAAACTCACTACCATGCCATTAGGCTAGAATCATGTGCTGACAAGAAACTAAAGACAGCGGCCTTATATTCCACAAAGCTCCTGAACCATATTCAGTAGCTTACGCCGCTGCAACTCGGTAGAAATCTCACTTCGTAAGCACTTCCAAAATCTTTTTAAGTACTGGATCTCAACTTTCAGGCTTTATAATTGTGAGCCTGCACCGTGCATATAACGTAGACCAGTAGAGGAACCAAACCAAAAACCCCAACTAAAGTTACTCTCAAAAGGGGAATCTTCCCAGTAACCACCCTGACTGTGCAAACCTGTATGCAAAGTAATGAAATCAGGTATTATTCGAACATAGACTCTGAAATACATCCAGCCAAACTTATAATCCAGAAGCTTTTTTGGACGAACAAAAACAAAACCCAAGTGTTCACCAGATGTATTGGCAAAATGTCATACATCCAGCAATTTCGTGAAGAACATGGTTCTACAATTCAGAAAAAGCAAGATCTACAGCTAGGCAACAAAAATGAAAGCCAAAACTGAAAATCACATCAACGTTTAGAACTGCAACCCATGCTGTACTTACGCATGGAAGCTGGCCAGCATATACAGGCAGCAGGAGAAGTAAGACTTTTTTCTGTATGCAATAGCCGCCCAGAAGCCAAACTCCATATACGAAGTGCGCAGTCTTCTCCACCTAATGAAAATCCACTCGACATACTAACCATATCATATAATGTAACTTGCCTTAAAAAAATGAGCTGGAAAACAGAATGCGTGATAAACAGCTGGATTTAAAAAATCCACTCGTTGTGCTTGTTGTCAAGTTTCCAAGACTACCTCAGTAGAGCCACTGCGAAGATGCTTTACCATTAACCAGAAGCAATGTGATTCATCAATATACCAAGTAGGATAATAGATGCAAGCCTCTTAATAGTACCAGATACAAGAAGAGTCTCAGTTGGATCGACACCAAGCTGCAACGTAGTATGTGTATTGTTATGGCCCTCATATGTTCTTACTGCCCCATTCTCCACCATACGTCGATCCCATTGGTGAATCTGTAAAGGACAAAAAGAATCGGAACGTTTCATTACCCATACAAGAAATATCTTTTTGATTCTAGTCATGATTCCAATTTCGTTTATGGATTTTACTCCAAATTCTATCGACATTATAATATCGGGTTTGAAACGTCAATTAATACTGCACATATTCAGAATCAGTACAAAGACAAAACAAAGATACAGAAAAGAGTGGTCCAACTTACAACTCCATTCATTGCACTTGCTAACAGATAGTTCTCATCATTCCGCAAAAGCAATAAACTGCAAAAACACTCAATTTCAGTATTACTCAGTGTTGCATCGTTTTAGAAATGATAGCCAAGCTGCTGAAAGACTAATGTAATTATTATAAGTGGAAGCATGAATATTACAGACTCTAATAATGGTACAACACATAAAAGAAAACAACCTCGACGATTGACTAATTAGTATTAGACTACTAACAACGTGGTAAACTGGATTTCAACGACATGATCAATCTATTTCTAAACTTTGACAGCTCCAAAACCACGCGAAGTCTCACCATGGTGTAAATTTGATCATACTTTTAGACAAGGAAACTTCATTAAAAAACTGTACGGTAGACACCAGATGATTCGCTACTCCCACCTAGTTCCAAAGTTCGAAAAAATCGAGTACATTTTCCATCGCACCAAACAAATGTGAAGGCATATCATCCGACATAAGATCGACGCCATTTGTGAGCTATTACTGATATTCAGCCCCTCTTGCACAACACCTCATTTCTTTCAACAACACATGCCATCTAGAGACGGGTGGCACTCAGAAAACCTCAAATATTGTACAAAGGTTTCCAAGTCGTGGTTCACCTGCAGATTGCTGAACCCATTCGCATGATTTTAGCGTGACTGCAAAAGTAATCGTCCACTCTGCGTTTGCTATTCTGTTTATTCTGCAACCAAAATAACTTTGATCTGTTAAGACAGCTATTATCCCTCAAGCAAATAGTATCATCTTACGTATGGTTCGGATTTAAGGCAGAGTCAGATCAAGAGTACATATCAGCCACGACAAGATTAAAAGGGGCGCACATTGCCATGCGAACTGCTGGAGTGTGAATTTCGCTGTTGATATTTCATAGAAGGAGGGAAAGCTCCTTTAAACTTCGACTTGACGACAGCAGCTTCATGATGCATGTGTGTTTCTTTTGGGGCTGGCTTCCTTAAATCGATTGTTGATATTACACCATTTCGAAATCCACAGAAAAGTACATTACCCTGGAGAGGAGAGAACTTAAATTTAATTGAAGTAACAGAACATTGACGATACTAGAAAAATAGCATTATGGGTACTTCACATTATATATCTCGCATTCACAGCGCATGAAATGAGCAATTTGATCAAAATAAGCTTGCCTCTTTATCGAACTGCTGTGCCAAAACATCACTGCTGCTTCGACACAGCCAAGTGACATCACTTCTCTCCAATGCTACCAGCCCAGCGCCTTCATCCATACCTGCAAAGCCGATACCACGACACTCAACACACCTACTGTAATAAAAAAATGGACACAAACATGAGCATTGCAAGCCCGAAGAAGACCAGTACCCAAGCTTGCTGCTATTCCATTGGGATTGGCTTCAGCTGTATAAACGCTGCAACGAGTCTTAACTCTAGCTTGGATCTGAAAAGGCAAGGGATAATTCCGATCCCATTCCTGAATTTCAGGCCCTTGCTTGAAAGACAGAACGTACAGAGATCCACTTGCTTTTCCATCACCTAGCGTTGTAAGTCTGCATAGGCAAAAACCAGCAAAATCGGATTTAATACCTGCATATAACTAAGGAAACTATTTTTGTCAAAAGGACCTGCAAGCATTGAGAGCTCACAATGAACTAGAAGTTCAAATTACAATCCTCCAATAAGTGCAAGAACAAAAGCATGCCAGGTTCCTTGAATTTTGAAAAGAGTGTGGTAAAAGGGTGTACATTGCCCTTCGATGAGGATGAGCACTGTTTTCAGATAATCCCTCTCCAAGTCTCTTGATTGCTGTAATGCGAGACGAAAATCGTGAACTTTCAATGGACCACAGCCCGGGTGGGTCCCTCTCTGTTGAAACTTTGACTGTGGCTTCTGCGGGTGCAAATCGCTTGGGATGTACGATGTCTGCTGATCGCGCTTGTAATCCGTTTAGAAGTGTGGTTCCACAGAGCCTAAACACAAGACCAAAAAAAAATTAGCATTTGCAAGTACGGATCGCCAGAGAGAAACATAAAACATAAGATGGATGAAATTAAACACGTAAACAACGGTGAAATGTAGTCAGTCGAATTGAATTGGCTCACTGTAAGATACTAATCTTTCAGGCTTATTAGGCTCCTAATGAACTAAGAATTGACTGAGATAAAGCTTACTCAAAACGACCGCTGCTACCTCCAAGAATTAATAAATCAGCCTCCTTCTCACCCTCCAGTGTTTGACAGGTCACACGCAACTGTTGCAGTGCACCATCAGCGCACATGTCTGTCCTATCGTAATCCCAAACCTGTGACAATCACAACATCATAACACTGCAATGACAAGCATGAAAAAATATGGGAAGATCGGAAATGAAGGCAGGTGGTTTCAACTACAGATAAATAGCAGAGTGTATCTCTGCAACCACCTGAGGATGGGCAGCTTGACCTTCCAAGAATTGTCTCCGGAATCCTCGATCACTGGAGGAAGCTCTGTTTGTACGACTGTTATGCTCCCTTGCTTGCAGCAGCTGTAGCACGCTGGGATGTCGACTGCCGTCGCTTCCATCTACTTGGACATCAACAGAATCTTGATTACCGTTTTCCTGTGCAACGAGATTTGGATGACTGTATTACGATGAGCAGATTGCTTCAGACATATAATCAACCACAATGTTTTTTGAGGATTCAAATACTCATCCCTGTTATCAAGGACAGCTCAAAATGTCAAAGATAATGCCTAACCTGCTTCGAAGAACTCGCTCCTCCAAGTTGAACTACACCGCTTCTGCCTCGTTTGCGAGGCAACGGGAAGTATCGGTTCAATTCAGAATCAAAATAGAAACCTGGAAGCTCTGCATGAGGAAATCCAAATAGAAACAATTAAGGATAAGGCACAAAGAAAATCCTGGGCAGCTGAATTGAACATCCAGGTCATGACCACAAGGCACAGCATGAAGTACGATCCCAAAAATCAACCATCAGAATCTAATGCATTCTCTGTTCGAGTGTGGGGTGAGCACGATACCACATGACCCTAGGCAGGTCATTCAGAGGCATGAGTACATTGCAGTCTGCAGGCTATAAAAGCAAACGGAGTACCACAGGAGAGAGAGGGAGGGAAAAACATAAAAACAAAAACAAAAATGAAAATGATGGCTGCATGTACCCCACATTGAAGAATACCCCACATCAAACCCCTGCATCCAAATAGCATCCAAATAACAACAAACTAGTGCCCAGTGCACTCGCTACATTTCTCACCACTTGCAACAATCAAGCACGATTACCCGTCGCTACTCTCCCGGAAAATTATTCAACAATACGGGCGATAGCATCCCCACTTTCCCACCATAAATCAAACATCACAATTGAAAGGGACCGAACCCTCATTCGTCCCCTCCCCCCCTCCCGATTTCCTTCATCGAAGTAGGAAAAACCTCAAAACTCCATGGAAAATCTCACCAGCCAAACAAGAATTGAAACCCGAATGAAACAACATACCTAAAGCCATGCTTCCACGCCCGTGCTGCCGAACACAGCCCAGATGCACCACACCGCCAGCGCAATTGAACGGAATTGCACAAGACAGCACGAGAATCGACGGGCAGCGCGACCTAAAATTCGAGTCGCAACGTCCAAAAACCGTAACGCAGCGGATGCCAGAGTGTGCAAAAGCAAACAAGAATGGAAGTGATTGGAAAGGGCAGATTCGGCCCAGACTAATCGCACACAAACACACACAAACACAAATTGGAGGCAACGCGACGCAATTGGTGTCACGACAGCGGCGAAGACGGAAAAAAAGAAAAAGAAACCCCCCTCCCCCTGGACCCCTCCATTTTAAAAGTAAAGGCCCCCTCTCCTTTAAAGTAAAAGATTCCCCCTCCTTTTCCTTGGGATGTCGAAGTTCTGAGAGTGCTCTACCCTATAGTCTGAATTGCTTCAAAAGCCCCAATCTGCAGCCATGCTGCATGTATTGATATGAGCAGTGAAGTCACACCAGTGAACATTGAAATCTGTAAAGCTCAATCACATGTTTGAAACCTCCAAATGACAGTTTGGTTCCTGCAGATCTAATATAAAAACATGTGCTTTCTCAACTTAAGAATTTCTCTGCTGAAGCAAATTACAATTGCTGCTCCATCTGTCCTCGTTGCAAACTGCATCCTGTAAGCGCCCTATTGAATGTGCGTTTTGAGTAACGATGATGTATTTACTGCAACACTCTATGTAATTTTCGCTTCACGGCCACAACACTTCACATCGTCTCTATTGCAACTCAACCAGGACTTTCATCAGCACAGCAACCGAAGGAACACGCTAACACCACCGCTTCAAAATAAATAAGTGAAAAAAGTGGACTACCTACCATGAGCACCTCACGGTGACCAACAGACAGCTTGAACCTACTGAATATTACGGCGCAACTAGGATGACGAAAACGACAATTCAAACACACTCAAATGAAAATTTCGTGGTCACTACGCACGCAAAAAACTTGCAATATCGTGAGAGAGTCGATGAAAAAGTGCGTGGTTACCCCAACACATGAAGGACAAAAGTGGAGCAAAAACTGTTAGCAGATTCTGTCCTTCGAGCATAATGCTTACGAATCAGTTGTGAAGACAATGTTACATTCCTGGGATCACGGCGCCGCTGCCGCAAAATAAAAATCGACGTCCATGAGACGATTCCTTGTGCACAGATCATCGCTTGCTAGTGTCATACAGGACGTCAATTTTGGCTAAAGCAGCCCTGACCTATGCTTCGCCATTTCGTTACATTTGGGACTCGACGCCGGGTGCGACTCGGAAGGAGGGACTTTGTAAAGCAATTTACTCATGAGATTGTAGCGTCTGCATGGTCATCTCGAGCTGGAGACCATGCTTTGGTCTGATGGATGCGCTCTTATGATAATCTTCTCAGCATTTCACAAGAACTTTCTCAGGTGTCCTGAGGAAATTACATTTAAGCTTCAGTTTCTGTTGAAAACCAAGCCACTCTGTACTTAAAACCTAGTTTGATTGTTGCCATTTTGCTCGAATCTGGCATGTATGTTTTATTGATTTGCTGAAATTTGAGATCATGCATACGGCTCATTTGGCATGCGTCGCTCCAGCTCTTGACTCTTGGATATCGCACAATATTTATCAATCCACTGTGTTGTTTCTGTCACTACTTCCTGCCATAGTTCCTTGGCTAAATTGAACATACTTGCTATGCAATTGTACTGTAGGAGAAAAGTTTTTTTTGATAAACTTGAGGGGTTAGGGTTTTCGGATTTAGAAACCACAAGATGTCACCGAAGCGCCATCGAACAACATGCAGCCCGAAACTGTGGGCTGGCAGGTGTGGACCAGAGAGCAAATGCACCCAACGATTCCTCCCACGACACATTCGATGTGCACTCCTGCAGGACAAACGGGCCCAAGTCCTCCACAAACGGATGCTGCGATGTTACATGAAGTTCGGTCAGGTCGGAGCGATGCAGAATCCCCTTTCAAAGTCACCGAAATTCTAAGGTTTGATCACATATCTTTGTTGGTTATTACCTGGGTTGAATCCTGACAGAGGGGTTGAAACGTGACGTAGTTCGCGACCATGAACCTGCAGCTGTATGACAGCAAGTTTTACCCGGAATAATGTGCTCAGCACATAATTTGCAAAGACATCAAACCTTCATTTGATAGAAAGAGTTCAGAAAACGAGTGCACCTTCCGATGATTCCTGTGGTGTTTGGGAACGGATTCTGCCATGATTGATCCCACCATCAGACCTGCACACACCTTGTCACTGTTCTGAAGAAACTCCTGAACTGGACAATATCACGTCCAACTACATCGGATAGACCGTCTGCCGTAACGTACAAGCTTCCCAACAAACGCGATTTTCACATATAATCTGTCAAGCATTCAAACCCTAAACAAAAGTGGGACTGTCTAGCTCGTACCAAGGATCATAATCTTCAGAACGACAGACACCTTCACCCTGCCCATAGTTTGAATCCCAAAACATCAACGTCGAAAGAGACACCGTGTGAGCCCACTGCTCAACTTGGCTGCCCAGCACGAATCAGATATTCAACTTGTGCTTCAAACGCATCGCACCAGGCATACGAAACAGGAGAGGGGTGCTACGTTAGGTCAGTACTCTCACGCAGACAATACATGCACGGCTCTCTCGCATGAATCGCTCTCTCCACGGATGACTGATGTCAACCCATCGAAAGGTATGTTTCTGAGCGTGACGTGTCCGCATCGGTGGTTCAGTCACCACACGGCTTCGACAGTCCCAGAGACTATCCAAGTATCTATCCATGCACGCAACTGCCATGTGCACCCACCGACAGATTCCAGCCGGAGCCGTAACCGTGAGACCCAATTGCGCCAACGACGTCGCCAGTTGGCGCAAGAGCCTGAGTTTCACCGACTGGGTGGGGTTGAGGAGGAGCTGCGGCGACGTCCATGTCTCCGATCCACTCTCACTGCTTGCATATATTTCTAGCATTTCCAGCCATTCTTGTGTAGCACCAAAGCTTGATGTTTGTTTGTTTGCTAGCGCTTGGATGGTTGCTGCATTTAGTGTCGTGAAATGAGCTTCATCGTCTTGGCTCTCACTTCCGTCGCACTTCGTCACACTTGGTAGAGGAGCTCATGCCAATGATACCATGAAAAACTACGGTAAATATTAAATAAATATATACCACAATATTCAACATGCAGCAAGTAACCAAAGTTAAGTACATGGCAGTTACGTTCATGGTGGAGAAGACCACTTCTTCTAACTTACCATAAGGTCTATTCATTATTATATATGTTGAATATAAATAACAAGAGAGTTTTGAACAAAGATTAGAAAACAAGAAAAGTATTGAAAGTAGCTTATTTTGTCTTAACATATAATAGTAATGAGAAAAGCTATGTGGAAACTTTCTTAAGCATTACAATGATTGCAAATTAAGGATTTAAGTTGCAATACACTTCTATAATTGTGGACATCAAAGTAAAAGAATGGTTAAGAAAATAATTTTGGGAAAATTGTGCACAAATCAATAAATAAAATAGTGAATTGATTTAGAATTGGTGCATTTCAACTAATCAAAAATATAATCTATTAATTGCTTACAATTTTATTTTAAAGATTTTGATTCAAATTGATAATAAAAAAGATCTTAAAAATTCAAAATTAAATTAAAGTAGATGATTATAAAAAGAAAGTAGGAGCTTTGAGATACAAGTAGTAATAAATTAGAATTAACAAGTGTTGCTTTAGTTTCATATCAAAATACTTTGTATATTATTAATTTAATTATTTATATTGATACTATAGATAATATATTATGTATTTTTAACTTATGGATTAAATTAATATTTAAATAAAATTTTACAATAAGACTTTAAAATAAAATTTTATAAAAAATCATGTTTTGAAATAAGGTTTTATTTATTCTATTTTTATTTATTTTTTTATAAAATATATTATTTTGTAATGCTATTATAGATTATTTATTGATACTACACATTTTTGTTAAAATTATTTTTAATATTTATATTTTTATAAGTTAAAAAAATTATACAAACTTAATTTTAAAGTATGGTTTCATAATATAACATTAAAATATGCTTTAATTAGTACAAATGCCATTCAAATTATAATAAAAAATTTTAATTTAAAATACATATCTACATATTATTATATTGATACTAATAATAGTATAAAATTACTTTTATTATTATCTATTTTACATAAATATATTGATATATAATACTTTAATGGTATACATGATTTATATACATGGTTATTTAAAATTTATTAATCTTATCTATTTTAGATATTTTTATATAACTTGTTAGCATTATAATTTTAGAGTAAGCTGCATTTTTATTTATTTATCATTTTAAAGCAATCCAATTTATTTATTATGATGTGTGTATTGATGCCATAAAAATTAGTATATTAAAATTAGCATAATGTAATACAACAAAATAGGCTTCAAAAAGAATAAATTACATTTATTATATATAAGTAAATACAATACATATTTGTATCTTTTTACTTCCGTTCAAATAACTATTCTAGTATTCTTTTACAACAAAATTGGTTCTTCTGTGTTATGTAATAGTACAAACAAACTATACAAAGTAGAAGATAAAAATATAAATATAAATAAAGATATAGGTGGTAATAGAGAATTAGAATAAAGTTCTTGGAAAAATGTGTATTAAATTACATTCTTTAAAATTGCAGTAAATGATTGAATATTTATAGTCTATTAAAAATATCCTAATAAAATTGATGATGTTTAAGATATATTAAAAATATCTTGTTTCTAATTTCTAATAAACAAAATTTGATTTAGCTCATGTAGATTTTAGATAAATCTTTTTTTGTTTTATAAATTTACTTAAATTATTTTATTTTTTTATTTTTTAATTTTTTATAATCTAAACATATGATAAAATATGCATATTAAAAAATGTTTACAAATACCTATATAAATATCTTAAATACTTACTATATATTATTTATATAGTCTTTTTTTTCTTAATTATACCTATTTCAACTTATTGATATTTATTCAAATAATATAAATTTTTATAAAAACTGCCATGTTAATAATAGATTAGAAAAATATAAGCATATTTGCAGAATTTTCTTCTGTAGAATATATGATGTATAATGAGATTATGAAATTGATCTTTAAAAAACATATATTGACTCAACACAACTTAATTTGACATATTTGTTGATTCTTTATTGTATGTTATTTTTTTAATTCCTAAAATTCATAGTATCTAGGTTGTTCTTTTTGGTTTTTGTGCACCTTAAAAAAATTATTTGCTAAATTGGAATTAAAATATTTAATGTTAATTTTTTAATTTAAAGTATATGTTTAAAAAATAATCTTAAATATAATACAATTAAGTATTTATTGATTCATACATGTATCTAAAAGTATTAAAAAAAACAAATAAAATCATAATTATAGCTATAAAATTCAAATAAAATATTTGTATTAAACACAAAAAATTAAAATAATTTTAAGAGAAAAAAATATATATTATAAATGAGACTACATAAAAAGCATTTTTCGATTCTATAAAGATAAGTTACATGCTTTTAATTTAGTTTTTTTTTTCTAAGTACAAAGCCAATCAAGTTAAGTTTTTCTGTTTCAACCAACTAAACGATTTAAAAATTCTAATCTCCCACTTTTTCTTGAAGTGTAATAGCTTTATAAGAACTGTTAAATTTTAAAATTAAAATTACTATTAGTTTTTTAGATATAAAAAACATAAATGCAATTGATTAAATTTTCTTGAGTTTCTTTTACTATGTATTATAATAAATTCAACTTTGAGGTTGTAATACAATTAAATACAATCCTTTGTTCCTTTTTTTTTATTTATTTTTGTTTTAAAGAATTGACATTAAGTACATATGTAGTCATAATTTTATTTTTTATAATATATTTACTTATTATTAATTTATTAATTTTTTCAATGTACTAGACTATTTTCTAAAAAATCCAATTTAAAATTTAAAATATTTTTAAAAAATTATATATATATATATATATATATTAAAAAGATAGTTGTAATGTAAAAATATTTCTAACTAGACAAGCATTGTTAATAAATTACTAGAATTTAGAAAAATCTATTCAATTTTGTAATAATAATGATATATTTTTATCAAAAAATATTCTAACATTACCTTTTGGATAACATCAACTGTAAATTTGAGATTGGATTGTTCACTATTGTCAAGGACAAAGACTCGATGAGGAAAAATATACACCAAAAGGCTATCTCGATATAATAAGTCAAAATATAAACAAGTAGGTATATTAAAAGGAAACTGGAATGGCTATTGCCACAAGACAAGAAACTAAAGACTCTTGAACCTGGACTAGAAGCAAGAAAGGAGTTGACAAGAGTGAAGAAGCCTTCACTCTTGTCTCTATATATACTATCTAACTAGGGGCTACGTGGTGACGTTCTATAGGACCTCCAATATGTGTTGACTTTGTAGGACACATGCCTTGACTTACAAGGCAAGTTTTTCTACGTGTGGGCCACATAGTTAGCTTGATCTTCAAGCTAACAACATGTGTGGCACATGGCCAACTTGTTGACCACGTTTCTAATCCAAAAAGTCAATTAAAGACACCTATGAAGTCAAAGCAGCGTCTAGGAAGTTTCTAGGAAGCTTATATATTAAATATTATAGAATTAACTTACTTTTATCTACTTTTACTTACTTCTACCTATTTCTATATGTAATTATTAGCTTACATGATTATGGCCGTGACATTACCCCCCCTTCTAGAGACGAGTTCCACGAGGAGGGGTCATCATATGTTGAGGAAATCTATGATGCGACGAATTGTATTCGCCACATACTCTGATCTCTGTTCTCTTCGAAGATGATTGATAGGGCCTCTCAACCATCGGTAGTGTCCCATACCAGGGCGGGAAGACCACCCAGTTATTTGATCATTATTGAGGCCTTCATAACTTCCTTCGAATAGAATATTTGGAACACCATCAGGAGTTGTTCCTACCTCTAGCAAAATCACCAAACATCGGGAGTCCCTTCCCAAATCGTGATACCAAACGCGTTGTATCTCACCATCTGTTCGAGGAAGAACATGTCGTTCTTGAAGATCTTCATCTCGATTGCGTCGTCTTGAAGGTTGTGACAATCGTAATGTCTCGTCCGGCAGGTCAACAAACGAAGGTTCTTGAGTTGAATCTGCTGGTTGTTGGCTCTCCATCTAATTAGCGTCACAAATGCAAAGAAGTTACAAACAAGGATAGGAAATTGAATGTTATCTTGCCTCAATCTTGTCTCTTTTATAAGAGAGATTTTCATCTTGGTTTTGATGGATGTCGTTGATGAAAAACTTTGACTTTAATTGATGCATTTGCTAGATTCCTGGATGGCTCCCATGTGCGTTCACTAATATCATATCCGCGCCAATGAACAAGATATTCCAGCTTATTTCGGCGCCGCCTTGAGTCTAATATCTCTTCCACCTCAAATTCTTCATTATTATCTACTTCTATAGGAGGCGGTGGCATTTGTCTTCTTCCTTGTATATCCACTGTCTTATATGGTTCAAGAAGAGATACGTGGAATACAGGATGGATCTTCATTGACTCTGGTAGATGTAACCGATATGCAACTGGGTTGATCTGTTCAGAAACAGAAAAGGGGCCAAGCCTACGATAGTCCAACTTGTCACAAGGTCGAGTAGTCTTG